CCGTGCGGCGCAGCAGCGGACGCGGCGGTCCCAGTGCAGCAGCTTGCACGCCACGAGCTCCTCCAGCATGCGGCCCCGGTACGCCGCGTTGTCGGCGACCTGTGGGGCAACGTGTAGGTAGGCGTTCTGCAGCGACGCCAGGGAAAAGAAGTCCATTGTCGTGACGAGGCGAATGCCATCAGGGAAGTTGCCGAGTCGCCCAACGCACTCCTGAAATGCCGCCGCCGCCGCACGTCGCACGTGCACCTCCCGGTCGAACAGCGAGGCGACGACAAGGCTGGTGCTGAGATTATGTACGTGCTCCTCAATGTCTGAGGCGTCGTAAGCGCGGGCGATAGACCAGCAGACGTAGCACGCAGCATCACGCACGTGGGAGCCGACGCTGTACGTCCCCTTAATCAGGTCAAACCCAAGTCCCTTTGTTACAAGCGGCACCACTCTGGCGAGGTGCTGCGGATGCAAGATGCTCCTGCGGCACAACTCCGCTACAGCAAGCAGACCCCCATGCCAGCTGCTGTCAGAGTGCTCATTGCTGAACACATCCAGCGTGGCGGCGATCACATCCTCCGCCATAGCACGCGGCAGTCGGTCGCATATGCGGCCAATACCCTTAGCGGCGCTCCAGCGCACCACCGTGTCTTTGTGACAGACAGCCTCCAGCAGCAGTCCAATAGCTTCCTCTAATCCCTCGTCGTTTTCAATCACATCCTCCTCCCTATCATCAACATCGTCGTCATCACCGTTTTTGTTATCATCTGCACCGCCATCGTCATCATCATCATCAGCAGCAGCAGCGGAGGTGCCGTTTTTGGCTCCACTCGAAGCCGCCGATATTGCCTCCCCTTCTACTGAGCCTACTGCACAGGTGGCAACCAAGTTCTGCATGAGAGAAGCGATGTGCCGATGATACTTCCATGGTGCCGAGCAGCTCTTCAGCATTGCGAGAACCAAGCGTTGCTCCACCTTTACCACCGCCTTGCAGAGCAGCGTGTCGCTGCCGCGAGTCTCGAAAACACCAGCAACGCTCGGTATGAGTTGCGGCGCGAACGGTGCTAACTCGCGGCGCTGCCCATACTTCATTGTCTTCGCGAGCGCAATGAGAACCCCGTGAAGCAGCAGGCTGCTGCTGTCTGAATCTGCAATCGCCGCTTGAGCGTAGGAAAAGAAGCGCACGCGGTGCACCTCGCCATCGGGGCGTGTGAGAAGTCGTGCGACGAGCAGCGCGGCCCCCTCGCGGCACTTCGACGTGTCGCTGAGGAACGCCATTGCCGTCTGCAGCACAGCGTCGGAGAGCGACCGGCCGCCAGAGACGTCGGCGACGGAGTCGATGATGCTGAGGGAGAAGGGCACGAGCACGAGGTTCGACAACCACAACAGGAGAGAGTAGCGCACCTCCCACTCCCGACGCCGCTCACTGCTGCGTTGCCACCAGCGCAGGGCGTAGAAGACGTCCTCGTACAATTTCACATCATTTGGGAAGTACGATGTGCAACACTTTTCACCAGCAGTTTTGACAACAATGTAAATGGCGCGACTAACGTGGTGGATCGCCGTCTTCGCAGCATCTGCATCGTACTCGTCGTAGTTCATCCCCAGCGTGTATTGCGGCTCCTCGCATGCCGCACAGTCCGTCTCCTCCTTGCACTCCTCCAATCGCCACACATCGGCTGCTGCTGGGAGGAGGTGCTGCAGCGTTGCGACGAGCGGTCCAAGCAGCACCTCCAAGTAGCCGTGGAGGAGGTGTGGGCACTCCTGGTAGCGCACAATGATGCGCTCGAAGCGACCCAACGCGGCCGCCACGCCGTCTGTGTCCTCCGCAGCGGTGGGGAGGGCCGCGCTCCGGGCCTGGTCTTGCTGTTGTTGCTGCAGCGCCTCCTGCACTCGCGACAGTAGCGTTCCACACTCATCCTCCTCTTCGAAAAGGGCGGGACCCCATTCACCCTCGTCGTCTTCCTCTTCCTCTTCCGCTCCTTCTGGGCGTGCGTTGTCGTCGACGTCGTTCGCGTCGAGCAGCGCGGCAGCAGGATCGGTCTCTAAAACCTCGTGATCCATCCCTGACGTCAGACACCTTCGAAAAGACATGAGTAAGTGAGTGGCGTGAGAAAAGAATGACAATAACACCATCAGGGAGGGCACAAAATGGTTGGCGCGACATTGCAGATGAATGAGACAACGACGGTAAAGTTGCAGGCACTAACCTGCAATTGGCTCCTCCCCCCTTCCCTCCACACGCACACGTGCATATATGTGTACACACATGCATATCGCTGAGCAGCACGCTCAGTGATCAGGACTTTACAAATGCAACCCCTCCAAAGCAACAACAACCGAGGCGTGATATGCATTCACTCCTCCATCCCACCCCCGTGGCGCTTATCGCTACACCGACTGCATGCGCAGCGCACCGTCAAAGCGAATACACTCGCCACTAAAAAAAAAAAAAGCCACTCTCCATGATGCGGTGCACCAGCGCGGCAAACTCCAACGAGTCGCCCAGACGCGGTGGGTCAGTGCTCACAAGAACGCCACGGTCCTCCGTCGCCTGCGCCGCGATGGCGGCAGACGCCAAGCGCCCCTACGAGGTTGATCGTCACCACATTCTCGGAGTCCCGCAGCGGGCACACCTCACACTTGCCAAGCACCTTCGCCCTGCTGACAATGCCGGCGCAGTTGACGACGCCAAGAACGAAAAAAAAAAAACGGACCCGAATGCGCCCGTCGAGATGCGGATGGCGTTTGCCACATCTTCCTCGCTGGCTACACCTGCCCGCACGTATTTGCCGTCAATGGCGTTTGCCACCGCCGCGCCCCTCTCGTTGAGGTTGAGGATCGCCACCTTTGCGCTGTCGCCTCGCCAAGACCAGAGCCACCGCCCGTGACGAGCACAGACTTGCCTGCCGCGGGCCGCAGAACTTTGACAGCAATGGGCATTGATACTTCATTGCCCTGCAGTGAAAAGGATGGAAGTGCATGTCTGAATGTATGTGGGAACGAGAGCGAGGAAAAAAGAGGAAGAGAGGGAGGCCTGGTTGCGAGGCACGGGAGGGCACAATGTGAGGGGACAACACACCAGCAAAAGAAAACAACAGCGGGGAGCATAGGTGGTGTGAGAGAGCACACGGCGCCAGTCAACTACTCCACTTTGGTGGTGAGGGAGAAGCCGTGGATCAGTGGAATCTCAACCTTCAGCGCCTCATTCACCAGTCGGTGCTGCTGCACCAGCGGTTGGCCACGGAACACCTGCGACGTCACCGTGATGTTGAAAAAGCTGCCGCAGCCGCCACTTGCGTCAACCACCTTGACGTCTTGCACCGGCTTGAGCGCCTCCGAGGCTCTTATCTTCGCCTCGATATCAGCCACCGTGATGGCCATGCGTAGCCGAGTAAGTCGCAGCATTTCACCTTGCCAGCAGCCGTCTCAGTACGCGCACTGCCAAGTTTCTACACAACAGACGACAGAAAGAAAACAAAGAGGAGGAGGGGGGGGGGCGGTGAGTGGAGCAAACGGCGAACAAACACTGACACATATATGCGCACACTTGCGTGGGTGCATCACACCAAGGAAGACGTGCGGAAGTGGCAGCAGCGCCACCAGCAGAAAGCAAATAATACCCACGACGCCCCCCCCCCCCCCCC